CTCACCAACCATACTCATTTCGAATTCTTTGGTCATTGTCTTCACAAAGTCATCAACCATTTGCTTAGAGGTTCCTCCGAAAATGATATCATCCACATACACTTGAATAATCAACATATCATCTCCATTTTCTCCAATGAACAGAGTCTTATCAACACCACCTCTTTGAAAACCAGCTTGAATCAGAAACTCAGTCAATTGATCATACCAAGCTCGTTCAGACCATAAAGTGCTTTCTTGAGCTTGTAGACATGATCTAGAAAGTGTGGATCTTCAAATCCTTTCGGTTGTGCTACATAGACTTCTTCTTGTAATACACCGTTCAGAAAGGCACTCTTGACATCCATTTGATAGAGTTTGATTCTGAGATTGCACGCCATGCCGAAGAGTAGTCGAATTGACTCAAGTCTTGCAACTGGAGCAAAGGTTTCATCGAAATCTACTCCTTCAATCTGAGAGTATCCTTGTCCCACCAATCGTGACTTGTTTCGAATGACGTCCCCTTCCTCATCGGTTTTGTTCTTGTGAATCCACTTGGTTCCAATAATGTTTACATTCTTTGGTCTTGGTACCAATTCCCACACTTGTAGTCGCTCAAACTGTTCAAGTTCAATATGCATTGACTCAGTCCAGAACTCATCATCTAACGCTTCCTGAATATTCTTGGGTTATATGGGTGACACAAAACACTCAACCGCATTCATCTTCACTGTAAAACACGCCAACTTGACCATCTCTTTAAAGTTGATTTGCTTCTTTCATGTGACTCTATCATCAAAAAGTCCTCCAATTACGTCTGATGAGGAGTGGTTCTTATGCACTTTTCCTTGATCAAGCTCGACTTTAGTTATCTCAGGGTCATCGTCTTCTTCAGACTCATCTTTCCCTTCACTTTCAGCTTCTTTTGAGGAACTCGGTGTGACACCATCAATCGTTTGTGTTACACGAGCCTCATAGAATCCAATGCTATCATCAAAGACGACGTTAACATTGTCACCAACAAACTTGGTACGCTGATTAAACACACGGTAAGCAGAGCTGTTCACTGAATATCCCAAGAACATCCTTATGTCACTTCTCGCCTCGAATTCCCCAATTCTTTATCATTCAGAATGTAGCATAAGCATCCAAACACATGCATGTGACTCAAATTTGGTGTTGTGCCCTTGAAGATCTCGTATGGCGTAGTCTTGGTCTTTGGCTTAACATATACTCGATTTATCACATAACATGCAGTGTTGATTGCTTCTGCCTAGAAACCAGATGGAACCCTATTGCCACACAACATTGCTCTTGCCATCTCTTGCAACGTTATATTCTTTCTTTCCACAACCCCATTTTGCTGCGGAGTTCTCGGTGCAGCATACTGATGACGAATACCCTGGTTGTGATAGAACTTATCAAAATGTTCGTTATGAAACTCACCACTATGGTCGCTTTTAATCTGAATGATTCCACCCTTATCTTGTTTGAGTTGAAGCGCCATGATTCTAAAGCTCTCAAGAGCATCAGACTTGTTGCGTAAGAAATCCACCCAAGTGTACCTGGAAAAATCATCAACCATCACAAAGATATATCGCTTACCAGCAATGCTTTCAGGGGTGATCGGACCCATAAGATCCATATGAACCAGCTCCAATATTCGTGTAGATCTGATCTCTGAAATTTGTTTGTGTTGCACCTTGACTTGCTTTCCTTGACAGCATGCTCCACACACGGTATCCGTTTGTTTCTCTAAATCAAGAACACCTCTTACCACTTCAGCACTCACAAGTCTGCTAAGCCCATTGGTGTTCATGTGCCCCAACTTCTTGTGCCAGAGATCAAGTTTGGATTCAGAAGCTGCAAAGCACACGTTTGAAGGTCTCCAAAGGTAGCAATTGTTCCCCGAGCGAATGCCTCTCAGCACCACATTGTTTCTTGCATCAACAGCTCGACATTCTTTGTTGTTAAAGATAACTTCCAGTCCTTCATCGCAAAATTGACTCACACTGATCAGATTAGCTTTGAGACCCTCGGCAAAGTAAACATTTGAGAGTTTAAGAACATCAGGTCTGGAGGTAATCCCAATTGCACGAATCTTGCCTTGTCCGCCATCTCCAAAAGTAACTTTTCCACCTCTGATGAGTTCGAGTTTCTCAAGATAGTCTTCGTTGCCAGTCATATGCTTTGAGCACCCACTGTCAAAATACCAAGGAAGTTGTGTCTGTGATGTTTCTTCAGCAGAGGTATACGCAACATGACNGTCTGGAGGTAATCCCAATTGCACGAATCTTGCCTTGTCCGCCATCTCCAAAAGTAACTTTTCCACCTCTGATGAGTTCGAGTTTCTCAAGATAGTCTTCGTTGCCAGTCATATGCTTTGAGCACCCACTGTCAAAATACCAAGGAAGTTGTGTCTGTGATGTTTCTTCAGCAGAGGTATACGCAACATGACTAACAATTTCAGTTTCCTCTTGAATTCTCACAAAGTTACAGACGACATCAGGGGTGGCTTCAGTGTCTGACTCAACTCGAGTAGTGATTGACATTGAGGAAGTGTGTTCTTTGTAGTTTGGATATAGGTCTCGCTTAGCTATCCACACACACCCATAGGCAGTTGGTTCTGTGAAGCACAAGTTCAATCTCCAAGCTCTCTCATACTGACTTCATCGAAAGTAACAAAACCTAACATTGTGTCCTCTTTTTCCACAGAAGTGACAACCGTTTCCACGTCTTCTTGGTTTCGGAAGGACACCCTCGTTTCTTTCAACATGATCTCGTTTCTCTTCAGGTTTCTTTCCTTCCTTCAGAGCTTCCTTCACAAATTTCGTTTCTGTAGATGTGGAGGATGATCCCTTGTATCCCAGGCCAAGGCTGAGACTTGGACACTGTCCCAATGTCAGTATGTGATCAAGAGATGCAGTACCCGCTGATAGCATTCGAACCTTCTTGTGATTTTCAGTAAGCTGACTCTCGAGTAGTCTACTTCGATCAGTCTCCATAGCCAAGAGATCACTAAGCCTTTGCACTTTAGCTGCAGCTTCCTTATGAACTCGTTCCTGCTCCGTCATAGCTCTCTTAAGTGCAAGAACTTCTTGATCTGATTCTCGGTCAATTGAGTACTCCTTCGTCTTGATAGAAGGCTGATCAAGTTCCAGTATGTTAACCTGAGCTCTCAGCATGGCAGTCTCTTTGAGCAGCGCAAGGTTCTCATGACTGAGATCAGAGAACTTATTAAAGAGGGTCTTATACTCAGTTTCAAGATCTTGCTCAAGATCACTGTCATCCTCGCTGTCAACATCAGTATCTTTTCCACTTTCTTGACCAATCAACGCCATGAAGTTTAGATGCAGCTCACCTTCATCACTATCGCTATCAGATTCCGTGTCACTGAAACAACTAAGAGACTTCTCTTTCCTTAGAATACTAGGACACTCACTGCGATTGGGCCCAATGCCTTTACACTAAATACATTTTTGCTCTTTTCTCTTAGCTAGAGGACACTCACTTCTAAAGTGGCCGTAACCTTCACATTCATGACACTTCTTGGTGTTCTTGCTAGACTCTTTTCTTGAGTTCTGAGAACTGCCCCTTTCACTGTCATTCCGTTGATAACGACCACTCGATCTTCCATTCCCTTTCTCCATGCGCTTGATGTACTTGTTGAAGTTTCGAGCCATTAAACTCAGATTCTCTTCAATCTTGGTGACACGACTATCATCCTTAGACTCAGCTGTGAAGGCGATGCTCTTCTGATTTGCGGCTTGCATGTCATTCTTCTCAAGATCATGTACCTTCAGAATTCCTGAGAGTTGATCAAACTTCATCTCATCTGTGTCTACAGCAAGTGTGAGTACCGCTTTATAAGCCTCGAACCGTGGAGGTAAGCATCTCAGCAGTTTCTTCACTAAGTCCTTTTCTTCATACTTCTTCCCGAGGACAGATGCTTCACTTGCCAGCTCGCTGATCTTGCATATGAATCCCTCAATTGGCTCATCATCACTCATCCTTAGGTTTTCTAACTTGGAGGTAAGATGATCAAGACGAGTTCTTCTCACACTAGTGTTTCCCTCAAAATGATTAATGAGAATATCCCACGCTTGCTTGGCAGATTCACATCCTTGTATGATCTTGAACTGCTCAACATCTACTGATGAGAATATTACAGTTAGGGCTTTGGAGTTGAATTTTGATGCTTTCTTCTCACCATCAGTCCACTGATTTTTACGTTTTGACCGACAGTCTTATTTTCCAGGATGACAGTAGGCGCACTCCAACCATCTTCTACAGACGTCCAAGCATCTTCATCAACTCCTCTGATGATGTGTTGCATCCTCACCTTCCAGTGACCGAAGTTGGTACTGTCAAGCATAATAGGCTTGTGAATGTGTAGGAGTTCTTTCATGGTGTCCATGAAATCCGCAGGATCTCAACCTGTTAGTAGTACTTGATACCACAGAGGTTTCCTGCTCTGATACCAAATGAAAGTTCAAAGACACGTAAATAAGAACCGTACACAATTTATTCAAGAACACTTCTTGTATATTAGAAACCTTTTAAACAATCTTCCTAGATCTGTTTAATCCGATTTAAGCTCAGTCACACACGACTAGCGACGGACAAGTTCCTAATCTCTAAGATATAGAAACCCAAGCCAAACCCCTGTTTTCTCGATCTCTATAGCCGAGAAGAACAACTCTCTTGCTCTAGCTTTTTCTCTCTTAACGTCTAACCTAAAACACTCTTAGGTTGCCTCGTTAAGTAGGCATGAAAAAAGGAAATATTCTACTTCCTAAAATATCGCCAACCAGAAGATCTTATTTGCTTCGCACCCAAGCAATATCTTCTATTTCCATAAGTTTGTGCCACGTCATTACACGTACCAAACTTATTGCACTGTGTAACACACTCTTATTTTAAACGGAATAAGCTCACAATCCTTGAGCTTACAATTAGAGATACCCATGTTGGTGGTTCCGGAAAGGATGGCTATACAGTCGTCTCCTGTACCAATGTGTGTCTTGGAAATGTTAATGTTGCTACAGAACCCGAACTTTATCCCATCGGTGTTTGGGCTGTCGCCGGGAGCTGTTATAGTGATGTCAGTGATGTTGAAGTGATGTACAGAGAAGAAGTTGAAGTATCCCATTTTGCTGTTGAGTAACGTTATCCCATTGATTCTTGAGTTGTTCACGAATGAAAATTCCATGGTCTGCGGGAATAGTCAAGTTTGGCTAGTAACTAGTAAGACACTAGCTGACTAGAATATAAGATACAGACATATTATTATGTGGATCTTGCCTCCTTTAAAACTATATATACTCGTTTTAGTGAAGTTTTGTATCTTAGATAATTAAATCAATAAATTTACGAGGTAATAGAAAAATAATTGAATTGCATAATTTTCATTGTAAAACCATATAATAAAGCATAAATGGATTAAGAAGTGGTATACCATAGCTAGCTTAGGACAACTGGGGTTTTTGTGACAGTCATTGAGTGGCCAAGACTCTTTGCCTTGGCCGTCGAGTGTACCGGCACCGGAGATAATAAGATGGTTAATGTACCTGAACTGAATCCATGTTTCCTTCTTAATGTCCCTAGGGTTTGAAGGAGCCAATAAAGTTCCATTGATGATTCAATCTGATTCGCGCATGGCCCTACGAACTCTACACCTCCGAGATAAAACGTTCCTTTCGGTACGTAGATTTTACTATCACCACCTTTCCTTGTGCATGCGCTTTTCCATATGTCTGTGAACGCCTAATTTTGGACAAGTTAAACAAACCAAATGTTGAGACATGAAAATCAGTGAAGTGTTCATCAATTTCAAGATTGCTCAAGTTCGAGTTTAGGCGGGATTAATTCAAACGCATGTGGTGACGTGGCAAGAGAAGAATTATCCTATGATAAGATATACATAAATCTGAGAGATTCTAGGGAGTAGAATAATAGATTTATTGTTATATGTAAGCTAAAATCAGATCGTCTAGGACTATAATAGACGAGGCTGGTGTTTTAGGTTAGTTACGGTTTTTAGAGTTTTAAAACAACGAGAGCAGAAAGTGTTTGTGACTCGTGTGTTGAAGTTGTTCAGTGTTGATTCACAAGTTGTGAAGTCAAGTAAATCTGGTTAAACAAGTTAGTGTGTAATTTGTTTAAAGAACTTCAATAAGAGTATTCAGTTTGGTATTCTTGAGGTTATATCTGTGCTCTAGGTTTTTCATTTGGTATCAGAGCAGGAACCTATCTAGATCTTACGATTTATAACAGGTAGAGATCCTGAGGAGAGCATGGATTCGTCTAAAGAGCTTGTGGCTGTTCAGAGAACCTTCATGTTGGATGAGAACAATTTCGGACACTGGAAAGTTAGAATGAAACAGAGACTCAAGGGTATCGAAGAAGATGTATGTACTGCAGTGGAGATGGGATGGACTGAACCAAGCCAGAAAAACGAGGATGGTGAACAAATTCCCAAACTTAAGGAGGATTGGACGGACAAGGATAAATCGGAATCAAAACACAACTCCAAAGCCATCTCAGAGATCTTCAACGCAATTAATCCAGAGCAATTTAAACTTGTTCAAGGGTGTGTTTCAGCTAAAGATGCTTGGGATACATTGGTTGACTACTATGAGGGCACCTCCACCGTGAAGAGGACGAGACTTGATCACTTGGCTACACAGTTTGAGAATTTGAGAATGACATAGGATGAGTCAATAACCGGTTTCAGTTCAAAACTAAGTACAATTGCTCATGAAGCAACTGTTTTGGGAAAGGAGTATAAAGACAAGAAACTTGTTAAGAAGATGATTCGCTGCTTACCATATAAGTTTGCAAATTACAAGCCTTTGCTAAAGGTTGGGATGAACACGGATGATATGAAGTTTTCACAACTTGTGGGAATACTTAAGGCCGAAGAGATGGAATCCAGTGGAGAGCAAGCTATGAAAGGTAAAGGGATTGCATTCGCAGCTGAGAAGGAGGAAGACAAGATACAAGTATTGCATGATACTCTGAATCAGAACTTGGAAGACAGTATGGCGTTGATGGCGCGTAACTTCAAAAAGGCATTGAGAAGAATTGAGAGAGGTCAAGGAAGAGGACATAACTCCCAACAGACATCTGATTCAAATCAAGATTGGCGACGTGATAAAGAAAGATCCAGCAACAAAAATGCTAGAAGTGATGCGAATTCATCTGGAAAGAAACGTGATCTTCAATGTCATGAGTGTGATGGAATTGGACACATCAGATCTGAATGCCCTCTTGCAAAACGCAAAGAAGTCAAGTGCCATGAGTGCAGAGGTTTCGGTCACATCAAGTCAAAATGTCCAAACTTGCTCAAGAAGGGAGATAAATCATTCCTCAGTTTCAGTGATACCGAATCTGATGAAGAAGAAGGTAGCGACAACATGATGACTCTGGTTGCATTTATAAGCGAGGCAGACGAGAAAAAATCTTTAGCCGAGACAGATTCATATGAAGATGAGGAAGAGATCGATCCTAAGGTTGAATTTCGGAAGCTGTATGAAAATTGGGTAGCACTGAGCAATGATAATCTGAAGCTGCTTAAGAATAAGGCTATGCTGGAAGCACAGATTAACATTCTTGAAATGGAAAAGACTGAAGAAAATCCTAAAAGCGTGTCTAACTCAGTGTCAGGTTTGGACAAAAAGGAAACAGAAAAGATCATGGAACTCGAATCCAAAGTGTCACGTTTAGCAGAGTTGCTGAGTCTTGAAGAAAGAAAGAATCGAAATCTGGAACACAGTCTGAGTGAGAATCATAAGAGGATAAGGATGATGAGTTCAGGAACACAGGAACTTGATAAGATTCTGAACATTGGACAACCGCCGAATGTGAGTTGGGGTCTTGGATACTGTGGTAGTCAATCCAGACAACCTCAATTGACTCACCCAGGAGCATCAACTTCAACTGGTTTTGTTCGGCCTGAGGGAGCCACAGCTGTAAAAGAAACAGTGACTCAGCAACATAATGTTTCGAAGAATGTTCAGGTTACTGAAAGGAAGGAACAGACATGGAGCTGTAATTCGTGTGGACTCAAGGGTCATATTGCCAAACATTGTTATACGCGTCGTAACAATATCCGACAGGCTTGGAAAAGAGGTATATGCTACCTTGAGCCTAAGTACTATGGGAGCTTCTGGATTCTAAAGTCAATTCTATATGCTAAGAGATGTGAGGAGGATTTTGGTGATGAATTCGATGTTATGAATGGGGTATATCAGGTTAATGAAGTAATCTTACCTTCTGCAAATAAAGTGGTAAAAGACAACAGTGATATGGGTGTTCAACAAATATGTAACTTTGTGTAAGTAGAGTTGGAGGAGAACAGTGATATGGGTGTTCAACAAATATGTAACTTTGTGCAAGTAGAGTTGGAGGAGGACATTTCTGACCAGAAGAGGAGTCTGGTAGCATTTACATCATCTGCTCATTCGAAACTAACAGCTTGGTACTTTGACAGTGGCTGTTCAAGACACATGACTGGTCAGCAACAAGTTCTGACAACTTACAGCAAGTTAAGTGGAGGAAAACTTATTTTTGGAGATGGAGGTAAAGGAAGCATTCGTGCAGTTGGTACTGTCAGTGGCCCAGATCAACCTGCGTTGGTCAATGTTTACTTTGTAGAAGGATTGACGGCCAACCTAATCAGTATCAGTCAACTATGTGATGAGGGACTCAAGGTGGTATTCACTAAAACCGAATGTCAGGCAATTGATATTAGGGAAACATCATTCTTCAGGGAATTCATGCTGAGAACAACTGCTATATGTGGAGACCTTTGAACACGTGTTTGTCAGCTACGGAATCTCAGCTTGATTTATGGCATAAACGAATGGGACATATGAATATCAATGGCTTACAGAGGATTGTTAAGGCAAATGTAGTGAGAGGAGTACCTAAGCTTGAGGAGTCATCTGGATCTATATGTAAGGCATGTTGTCAAGGGAAGCAGATAAAGGTCCAACACAAAAAAATCAAAGAAATAACATCCAAAGGAGTTCTGGAACTTATACATATGGATTTGATGGGTCCAGTTCAGACTGAGAGTATTGCTGGTCGTCGATACATATTTGTACTGGTAGATGACTATTCACGTTTCACATGGGTAAGATTCCTGAGAGAAAAGTCTGAGACTCTACAAAGCTTCAAGATGCTAGCTCTTCAACTGGCCAACGAGAAAGGGAATATTGCACAGATCAGAAGTGACAATGGTGGTGAATTCCAGAATGAAGCCTTTGATCGCTTTTGTCAAGAACGAGGGATCAGGAGACAATTCTTAGCCCCAAGAACACCTCAGCAAAATGGTATTGTTGAAAGAAAGAATAGAACTTTGCAAGAAATGGCTAGGGCTATGATGCATTACAATCAAGTACCCACAAGATTTTGGGCAGAAGCCATCAGCACAGCATGTTACATTATCAACAGAGTGTATGTGAAACCCAGAACAAAGACTACACCATACGAAATCTGGAGAGGAAAGACACCTAATCTGAGTCATCTTCATATTTTTGGGTGCATTTGCTACATACTCAATGACAGGGAAAATTTGGGCAAGTTTGACTCCAGAAGTGATGAAGGAATATTCTTGGGTTACTCAACACACCGTATGGCCTTCAGAGTGTACAACAAAGCCACAAAGACAGTGATGGATGCAGTGAATGTGGTCTTTGATGACAGAAATAGTCAAGTTCTGGAACAAGGGGAGCAAGACGAGAACCTGATGAAAAACACAGACACTGAGCTGCTCAACAGTGACAAGGAACTTCGCTCAAGTGAGATCGAGACAAACAAGCTTCAAGTTCACAAGAATCACTCTGCTGATGATGTGATTGGTGATTTGGATGCTGATCGAGTTACCAGGAGACTCCAAATAAACTTCAAGGAAATGGTGAAACTAGCCTGTTTCATTTCATTGGTTGAGCCAAAGGATGTGTACGAAGCATTAGAAGATGAATTCTGGACTGATTTGTGTCACGAAGAACTTGAACAGTTTGCCATACATGATGTATGGGAATTAATACCAAAACCGTCAGGAGTGAATGTTATTGGGACAAAGTGGATCTTCAAAAACAAAATAGATGAGGATGGGAATGTTGTCAGAAATAAGTCACGATTGGTTGCTCAGGGTTACTGTCAGATAGAAGGGGTGGACTTTGATGAAACGTTTGCTCCTGTAGCCAGGTTGGAATCAATCAGGTTGCTACTCGGAATTGCCTGCAAGCTTAACATTAGACTATATCAAATGGATGTCAAGAGTGCATTTTTGAACGGGTTACTCCAGGAAGAAGTGTACGTTGCACAACCAAAAGAATTCGAAGACCCCAAGTTTCCTGAACATGTCTATAAACTGAAAAGGGCTCTTTATGGTTTGAAACAAGCCCCTAGAGCTTGGTATGAAAGACTCACGCAATTACTTCTTGAGGCAGGGTTTAAGCGTGGAAATGTAGATCGAACCTTGTTCATTCTTGAGAAGAACAGTGAGATGTTGGTCATGCAGATCTATGTTGATGACATAATCTTTGGAGGCACAAGGGAAACACTCGTAAAAGAATTTGTTCAGACTATGACTAGCGAGTTTGAAATGAGCATGGTTGAGAAGCTTAACTACTTTTTGGGACTTCAAATCAAACAGATGGATGAGGGAATCTTTGTTTCACAGAGCACATACTCCAGAAATCTGATTGCCAGATTTGAGATGCATATGTCTAAGGAATCAAGAACTCCAATGAGTACAACGTGCAAACTGTCCAAAGATGAGCAGGGAGTGAAAGTAGATGAAAAGTTGTACCGAGCTATGATAGGAAGTTTGCTGTACCTTACAGCAAGTCGACCTGATATCTGTTACAGCGTCGGTGTATGCGCACGGTACCAAGCTAGTCCACGGGTGTCACACTTAAATGCACTTAAGAGGATAATCAAATACGTGAAAGGAACAACTAATCTTGGATTATATTACACAAAAGATACTAATATAAGCTTGGCTGGTTTTTGTGATGGAGATTGGGCGGGTAGTTTGGATGACCGAAGGAGTACTTCTGGTGGATGTTTCTTCTTGGGTAACAATATGGTGTCATGGCACAGCAAGAAACAAAATTGTGTATCTTTATCAACGGCTGAAGCAGAATACATCGCTCTTGGAAGCTGTTGCACTCAACTGCTGTGGATGAAACACATGCTAGCTGACTATGGTATGACCTCGAACCCACTAATGGTATATTGTGATAATCAAAGTGCAATTAATATTTCAAAGAACCCTGTGATGCATTCGAAAACCAAACATATTGCAATAAGATATCATTTTGTTAGGGATTTGGTTGAGGCCAAAATTGTTGTGTTAGAGTTTGTTTCATCAGCACGTCAGCTTGCAGATATTTTCACCAAAGCTCTTGATCTAAACACGTTTTTAAACTTAAGAAAGGCGATTGGAGTCTGTGAAGCTTGAGCAGCTCGGGCTATGAGGGTTGAACATGTTCTTAGTATGTATGTACAGAGAAACTATCAAGGAGTTTTTCACGCATTTCTATAAAAACCTCATGTTGGCAAGTCAGACGTAAAGAGGGCTACTCATCATGCACTGGTAAGTAAAGATTACTTTGGGAGTTTAAACTGAGAGACAGCTTCAATACGCTCTTGGATATGGATGACACAACATTGATAGCTAAGCTTGGTCAGTATTGAAACTGTTTAAGAGTGAAGGATACTCAGCTTGGACCTGGACGCTACAACGTTTATGTCTAGGTTGATCACTATCTGGACTTAGAAGGTAAAAGCAGACTTACGAGTAAAGGAAAGGTTCTCTAAAGGTGGTGGTAAAAGAAAAGAAAAAAAAAATCTAGGAAAGAGAGTATTAAAAAAAAAAAAAAAAAGGTGAAAGAATGACAGTTGAAAAAGAAAAAAAAATGAGATAAAAAGAAGTGTTGAACATGATGATAACCCTAGAAGAGAACCTCCCAGCTGGATAAACAATCTCGTTGGATTTGGGTACAACAATGCTTAAACACTGACTGAGATCAATGTTTTGATTGGGATTTACTTGGAAAGTATGTCTTTTATCTGGTCTTGGTTAGAAGTAATGTACTTCGTGTGTATGATGATGTGAAGACTAGTGCGTTTTGATCGAGGTGATGAAAGCTGTCGCAGATAGCCATTGCAGAGAGCCAATGGGTTGATGTTTGATTTTGGTAGTCTTTAACAGTATACTTCTTGATGGCTCTCTGTTACATGATACTGGAAAAATGTCCAATCCTCCTCTAGCCAAGCCTGCTTAAGTATGTACATAAGTTTTTTTTATAAATCCTGACTGCTGATGATACTTACTCTCTCTCTCGCCAAGTACTAAGTAGTTTGCATTTAGAATTTATTCATGTTTACTTGTCTAAGGCATAATGGGCTTTGCTTGAGTTTCTTTTTCATTTGATCTATTAATACTAATGGGCTTTGTCTATGAGATGTGTGAACTATATAAGTGAGCTTAAGGAAGTTCTAGGGCAACAAGAACACGCCGAAAACAACCTTGTTCATTTCCAAAGGTGTCTCATGAGTGAAGAAGCACGACCGAGAACACGCAGACAAATCATGTCTTCACTGATCCGTAAAATTGCCAGAAATCCTACCATTCCAACACCCGAGAAGCTCAAACAGTCTAAAGAAGTCAGATCTGAAGGCTCATCGTGCCATGTGAGTCGACGAACTAAATGTCGACGAAAGAAGAAGACAACCTCAATCGAGGACATCTTCCCAGATCCACCGTCAGAGATAACCGATAAAGTAGCTGAGGATAGTCATGATGATGAAGAACCACTAGAAGTTGACATGCAAGATCCAAGAGAGGATGGAGAAGATGATGATGAACCGGAATTGATGGAAACCGGTGTGCAAGAAGGGTTTGTCTATGAAGACCTAGAACCACGGGTTCAACAGTTGAGATCTCAGCATCAACTTCGCCTCTCTGCTCTACCCGGTCTTACAAATCCAAAACGCTTGCCTTACAATGGATCGTTCTATCGAGTTGCAGGGAGTAAGAGGTATGAGTGTCTACTATCGCAAACCATACTAGGAGAAAAGTTTCTGCCGTTAGGAAATGAGAAACTTGATGAAGCTAGGAACATTATTGAGAAGGCTGGGCTAATGTATTCGGTTTTAGATTTGTTGTGGTTCACTCAAGAGGTGGTTCTGGAGTTCTATGCTAATCTTGGAAACATGATCAAGCGTGATGGTACCACTTGGGTGTATGTGAGAAACCACATGTATGAGTTCTCTCCAACTATTATCAATAGTCTCTTCAAGACAACTAGTCAACCAGTTGATTTTCCACGCAAGCCATGGATTACTTAGAACCTTGACAAAGCGGTGGAAACCATGACCGGAGGGAAGAAGAAGAAATTGGGAAATCTCAGCATGCTTGATATAACATCGACGATGAATATTCTCTTCAAGTTCTGTGTCTACAATTGGATTCCTACAGCAAATCGATCAACATTGACCATCGATCGTATCAAGTTCATTCATATGATTACCGAGGGAAGGCCTTTTGATTTTGGTGTTATGGTGTTTGATCAGATTTTTGAGTTGGGACAGCAAGCTGTATCAGGCAAGACAAAGAAGTTGCTTTTTCCGGGGCTTATTCAGCATGTGCTTCAATCTCAGCATCCGATCTCAGTTGATCCTGAAGACTCTAAACTCACTGAGCTTACTAAGATGATACTTGATGGAAAACAGGGTGTTCCAAAGAAACCGCCTGGAACGGTCCCTCGACGTTCTTTGACTCAGGACCTTGGTCATGTCTATCGTCTCATTGACAACGTCATCAGAAGATCTGCAAGTAAGTTACTTCTGTCTTTGATTCTATATTCTTGTTTTTCATAACTCTGTTTTTAAGTGTCTATGCCACCAAGCAGGGGGAGAATATGGTGATTTGTCTAATCTAGGTGATGAGAGCAGCAGTAATGAAGATGAAGGCAATGACGAAGATGAAGGCAATGACGACAGTCATAGTGAGGAGTTCTAAGTGATAGGGGGAGTCCTAAGATCTAGGGGGAGTTTGTTTTTCGTTAGTCTGGGTCTAAGTGATAGGGGGAGTTTGTTTTTGTTTCTTGGATCTACTTGGTTGAGTTGCTTTTGTTAAGATATCTATGTATGGTTGTGAGGTTAGGGATGCTGGTGGTGTATTTCTAAAAACAATCTCGTGGTTGAATGCTATGGTTTATGCTTACTAACATTAGTATGTTTAGATGTTGTTGTTCAGTGTTTATGTCACATGTAGTTGATTTTAATCGACAAGTGCTTGGTGATGATAGACACTCAAAAAGGGGGAGATTGTTGAGACATGAAAATCAGTGAAGTGTTCATCAATTTCAATATTGCTCAAGTTCGAGTTTAGGCGGGATTAATTCAAACGCATGTGGTGACGTGGCAAGAGAAGAATTATCCTATGATAAGATATACATAAATCTGAGAGATTCTAGGGAGTAGAATAATAGATTTATTGTTATCTGTAAGCTAAAATCAGATCGTCTAGGACTATAATAGACGAGGCTGGTGTTTTAGGTTAGTTACGGTTTTTAGAGTTTTAAAACAACGAGAGCAGAAAGTGTTTGTGACTCGTGTGTTGAAGTTGTTCAGTGTTGATTCACAAGTTGTGAAGTCAAGTAAATCTGGTTAAACAAGTTAGTGTGTAATTTGTTTAAAGAACTTCAATAAGAGTATTCAGTTTGGTATTCTTGAGGTTATATCTGTGCTCTAGGTTTTTCACCAAAATCAATAAAACGTTGATATTTGTGTGTTTCTATATATATTGGTTATGTACATACCTTGGCGTTATCAGTTTTTCCGCCAGCTTTGGCACCATACCGTTGGACGTTAAAAACCTTTGGCGTATTGGTCGGACGACTTGCAACGGCAGCGACGAACAAGAGAGACAAACACAAAGCCTTAAACGCAGAAGCAATGCAAGTCATCTTCTTATTTTATTAAGAGAAAATTACTAGAATGATATACAAAAGTTGGTATATGACTAGAATAGTATACATTTTCTAAAAATTACTAGAATGTTTTTAGACTCCTAGTAAATTACAATAAACACCCTTCTTTAATTTTTGTTACTATTGATACAAATTTTAATTATTAAATCCACATCATAATTTGACAATCCACGTCACTAATTTATGTCATCAACAGTTACACTGGAAAATCAACAGTCCCATATCTTCGGGGAACAAAAAAAAGTCTTAATATCACATTTTTTCGTCACAACTTTCGTTAAACCCTAACGATTACGAAATCACGAAATCCTCTTCGTCACAACTAATAATCTCGTATCGAACTGTTTCCGATATCGTAAATCATCTCCGTTATCCTCTTCGTCGACCTCGTTAAACCCTAACCGTCTCCGATATCATCTTCGTCGACATCCTCTTCTCCGCAAAAGTTTCGACGTGATCGTATCTACGACATCATCTTCTCATCTTCTCTGGTATGTTGTGCCTGAGTTTGATTTACGACGTGTCTGAGTTATAGATTATGTTGTTACTGAGTTATTGTATAGTGTGGCTGAGTTAAGTTTGATTTATGAAGTGGCTGAGTTGTTGATTATGATCCGACTGAGTTATTGATTATGTTTTGGCTGAGTTATTGATTATGTTTTGGCTGAGTTATATATTATGTTCTGGCTGAGTTATTTATTATTTATGATTTGGCTGAGTTATTGATTATGTTTTGGCTGAGTTATTGATTATGTTTTGGCTGAGTTATTGATATGGTGGCTGGGTTATTTATTATGTTGTTGCTGAGTTTTGTTTCTGTTGCGGCTGATTTATCTATATATATATATATGTGTTTTAAGATCAGATGGCTATTTCTGAAGATCAAGCACGGGATTATCCTCCACGACTTTACGCGGAAGGGGCTTCAAATCTAGAAAATAAAGAGATTAATCACAATTTGCAGATGGGAGATTTCCCTAACGTCAGAGAAGCAATAGGACGGGATGTGTGGGATCACATGAGGCAGGGTCCTCTTGGAATTATTGTAAAGCTAGCTGAACGCAAAAGCGTGTGGTCTGGTAGGACTGACCACTATCTACTATGTCGACAGCTTCGAGTATACTTGAAGGAGATATGGAGTCTAGTTGGTGATGAACCTATCAGGTTTAGCTTACTCGAATTTGGTGAGATCACTAGGTTAAACACAGATCCAGTGCCAACAGAAACTTTTGAACATGACCAATACAAAGCGTTTTGGGAGGAGTTGAATCTGCCACTTGGGCTGGGACCCAAGTTAGATGAACTGAGGGCAGCATTAGAGGTATGTCCGGCCTGGAGTTTTGAAAAGCGTAAATGGTTAGGGCTGTTACTTCTTCAAGCCATGGGACTTTATGCTTTGCATCATAATTCTAGGATACCATTTGAAAGTGCAAAAAGAGTATTTGACGATGAAGCCATGATGACGTATCCATGGGGGAGGACTGCATACGAAGTTCTTGTTGACTCTATTAAGATGTTGAATCCACAAGGAAGGACATACACCATAAGCGGTCTGAAGGACGTGTTGTTGGTTTGGGCGTATGAATCTGTCATTTGTTTTGGGGAGCGTTTTGGGAGAGTGGTCAATGAGCAAGAAGTTCCACNGTGTCTGAGTTATTAGTTATTTTGTGGCTGAGTTATTAGTTGTTTTATGAACACCAACAACCCAGCCACCATATAAACAATATCTCAGCCTCTTGGTATTAGTTTTGATGGCTGAGTTAGTATGTACATAGTGGCTGGGTTTCTTGATATTAGTTATTTGATGGCTGTGATAGTGTTTATATTGTTGCATGGTGGCTGGGTTTTTGGTACTTTGTGGATGAGATATTAGTACTTTTACAGCTGAGTTATTATGTATTCGGTGGCTGATTTTGTAGGTGCGCGTGAGAAAAATGGTTATGAAGGACTCCGTAGAAGAGATGTTTCATAAGTGGCCGGATGAAGCAGCTGACCCGCAACTCGTTAACTTGATAACAGACATATATGCAGGTCGGTTTGTTAGAGGTTTTTGGGGAACACAGATGAAACACAAACAAACAAACGCAAAGGTTTTTGGTGTTTCGTCAAAGGCTGAGCCACCCATTAAGAAGCAGACGAAAGTGAGCAGCTTCCAAGAGGATGAAGCTGATGTGGAGGGAAATGGTGCTTACGAGAAGGAAGGTAAGGATGATATTAGCGGAAATCCGATACTGTTGAAAATGATGTGTACTCTGGATAGAATTGACTCAAAAATAGACAGCCACGAGACCAACTTCGAAAACTTCAACGAGCGGTTATGCAGAATGGAGTCCAGTTATACGAACAGTCCTGATTTAGTCAGAATTGCAGTGGACGAGTACTTCTCTAAAGTTCCCCAACAATCTTTAACGTTGCCAGCACCACCGCCGCCACCGCCGCCACTGCCGAGCTTTTGTCCGCAGCAGTCAGTCAATAGTCCACCTGCTAAGGCCTCTGTCCATAGTCCACCTGCTAAGGCCTCTGTCCATAGCAAACCTGCTAAGAATTTGGGAGACATTGTTGATTTCGTTGGTATTTCTCTTGCAAAGGACCCAGCCTTAGGACGCGGGAACAATGTAATAAGGTTTAAACAAAAAGGATATGAGGTTAAAGAGAAGGACAGAGAGGCGGCTGAGTTAGGAAAGAAGGATGTGTCTCCTAAGAATAACTTAACGGCTGTAAGTAGGGAAGAAGAGGCTGCGTTAAAGAAGAAGGAGGAGGCGGCTGTAAAAAGGAGAAAAAAGCGACTGAGACAAAGCAACGGAAGGCTAACGAAAAGAAGGCGGCTGAGTTGAAGAAGAAAGAAATGGCTGAGTTACAGAATCCGGTCGCAAAAAGGACGCGTCGCGGTTTAACAACAGTAGCTGTACCTCAGCCGAACCAGATTCAAGCCAACAATGAGCTTGCGGATATTACTGACGCATTTCTCGCAGCATGAGACGAAGTGCTTCCAGAATCTGATGAGGATGAAGAGGATAGGATCAGATCCGAAAGAATAAAAGAATATCGGGAGAAAAATGTTCAGTTATCTGCAAATGGGTCTGCATTGCAACTCTCTGATAATGCTTCTCCAGCACCAGTTTTTCCTCATATTGGAGACAATGTAACAACGTGCATGAGGAAAAAGTTATTACCTTCACCAGCAATATATGATCCTTTAGCACCGGTTGATCCAGTAAAATTGGATAAACTTATGAAATACCTAGAGAAACATAAAGACGCTGCCACTACCCCAACAGCGGTCGATGAGGGTGAGTTCTACAGAATCATGATCACTGAAAGACCGTGGAAAGACATTAGATATGGATGGCTGCATGATGATGTAAGTATTCCTTACGGATGAGTTATAAATTTTATGTGACTGAGTTACGTTTTTTTAAGGCTAAGTTAAGTTTACTAGTTGGCTGAGTTTAGTGTACTATGTGGCTGAGTTATGTGTTTACTAGTTGGCTGAGTTTAGTGTACTATGTGGCTGAGTTATGTGTTTTGTTACGACTGAGTTATAGATTCTATTATATTGACTTGATTTTGTGTTTTTGCGTAGCATGTTAGTGCGTTTCTGCGAATCCTCATCAAAAGGTCCATGCGAGATCCTAGCCCATTCTGGACCAAGCGCATTGCATTTATTGACATCTGGTTTCTCAGTCATTGGATTCGCGATTACCAGCAGTACAAGCTCAATCCTAAGATGATGAGATTCACCGGTAATGGCTATGAAGATTTAATAAAGGGTAGGATGCCCGCAGACTGTTGTACAAACTTGAAGTGGTATGAGGATGTGGATCACCTGTACGGAGTGCTTCAAACATGAGGCGATCATTGGGTGGCGTTTGACGTGGATCTGCTTAATGAGAAGATTGACTGCTATGATCCAATCATTGGACACGTCACAGCCGAAAGTGAAAAGAAGATGGTTGATGCATTTAAGCCTCTTACGCAAATGCTACCTTCGATGTTGAATCAAAATATTCCTTCCAAACTCCGAAAACACAGAATGAAGCAGTTTTCNGACGTGGATCTGCTTAATGAGAAGATTGACTGCTATGATCCAATCATTGGACACGTCACAGCCGAAAGTGAAAAGAAGATGGTTGATGCATTTAAGCCTCTTACGCAAATGCTACCTTCGATGTTGAATCAAAATATTCCTTCCAAACTCCGAAAACACAGAATGAAGCAGTTTTCGTTCCGAAGGAGGAAAGGCGATTGGATTCCCCAAAACACCCAAATTGGTGATTGTGGAGTGTATGCATCGAAGTTTGTGGAATGCTTAGCGCTTGGCGTGAGTTTTGCTGGGATAAATGATAGGAATATTCAAGGTCTACGGGTGAAGATGGCAGCAGAGATCCTGGATGAAGTAGGAACTGACTTCTATTCCCAGTTTGATTAGCCTTTGAACAACGATTTGTATATTTTTTGGTAATTGTATATTTTATATAACCCAGCCGCAACGTTTCTATAATCCAGCCGTATAGCCTTATATAACTCAGTCATACCACAAAGATACCCTAAAATCGGAAAAGTTTAATATAACCCAGCCGCAACGTTTCAATAATCCAGCCGTCTAGCCTTGTATAACTCAGTCATACCACAAACATACCCTACAATCGAAAAAGTTTAATATAACCCAGCCAAAACGTTTCTAATAATCCAGCCGTCTTGTCTTATATAACTCAGCCACACCACAAACATACCCTAATATTTGGAAATGTACTTTAAAAAGTAATTTTCTCTTAATATTATCAGTTTTAGATGAATATTTAATCAACACAATGTATAGACTTCATTGAATTTACAAGTTTCGGATTGACCATGATCTTGAGGTATAAGTTGTCTTACAAATACTTAAAACCTTATGTAACTATATAGGTGTTGAACGCACCAAATACAAAGTACCATATAATTTTTTTTTTTCAATTGAATTTGTGTAATTTCTT